ATGGTTTGTTGAAATTGTCCCATGCTTTGTTGCATGGTAACCATGTTTGAAGTCAAAGCTCTTATCATGTCATCAGTTGACATATTAGGTTGAGAATTTGAGCCTTGATTGTTGAAAGGTGATTGAGAAGGTGGGTTTGATTGTTGGGGGTTTCCATACCTCAAGTTTGGATGATCCCTTAACCCAGAGTTGTAAGAGTTTGAGAATGGATCGTACCTCCTTTGTCCTTGGAAACCCAAGGCGTTGACTTGCTCAAAATTCTCCTCTTGTATTGATGGACATGAATCGGTCGGATGTCCTTGTGTTGAACATATGCCGCAAACCTTGACTTCTTGGGTTTTGGGTTTTAAGAGAAAATCTTTAACCAAAGAAGTCAAGCCGGCCACTTGACTTTCCAACGAGGTGTTGGATTCCGCCGCGGCAACCCTTCGGGTTGAGGATCGCCCATTGTAGTATCTAGAATTCTCGGCCAATTCCGAGATGAGATTTCTTGCTTGAGAAGGGGTTTTGTTAACAATCCCCCCTCCACTCGCCGCATTGACCATGCGCCTATCTTGATCCGCAAGACCATCATAAAAGTAAAGGATGAGGTCTTGCTCAGTGTACCCATTATATGGGCAGCTGGCACACAACTTTTTGAATCGCTCCCAATATTCATATAAGGACTCATCATCTTTTTGATCAATGTTGCTTATTTGTTTTTTCAAAGATGATGAGACAGAAGCGGGATAATACCTTTCTAGGAAGCATTTCTTCATTGCTGCCCATGTATCTATACTCCCCGAAGGGAGATAGAATAGCCAATCCTTTGCAGTGTCTTTAAGGGAGAATGGGAAAGCCCTCAATTTGATTTGCTCCTCGGTGACTCCATTTGGGCACATGCTCGTGCAAACAATATGGAATTCCGAGAGATGTTTGTTCGGATCCTCTCCTCTTAGCCCGTGGAAGGAAGGAAGTAGATGGATAAGCCCCGATTTGAGCTCAAAAGTATTACCTTCATTGAGTGTAGGGAAGGTAATACACAATGGTTGTTGGTTGAGATTTGGAGCGGTGAGCTCCCTCAATGTTCTCGTCTCTTGAGCCATAGTGATTGGTTCTTCGTTCTCGCTAGAATAAGAACTAGCGCTTGATGATTCCTCCGAAGAAGTATTCGGAAATAAATTCCTAAACCTCTCGAAGGCTTGTACCGTTTCGGGATTTGTTTGGTAGGTGATTTGGTTTATAGATCGGTGTTTAACCATATACTCAAACAAAGCTCAGAAATAGAAAATAAGAATTCTTTATATTTTCAATTATTTTTTTTTTTGATTTTTCTTGAAATAAAATAAAAAGAAAAATAATTGCCTCTCCCCGGCAACGGCGCCAAATTTGACGTGCACTTTGTCGTGATGTGCACTCAAAATAATAATACAATACAACAATTATACGTAGTATAATGAAGTAAGGTTCGTATCCACAGGGAAAGGAATATTTCTCTTTTTAATTACAAAGTAACAAAAGGGGGGGTTTAGGTTTGAGTGATTTAATTTAATTAAATACGAAGATGAACGAGTTATGTGGTTTAATTAATGAGAAGGAGACTTGGCTTTGCTTTTATCCACTTAATGAAATGTTCGTCGATCCCGGTTATATCTTTAACTATCTTCCTCTCGAATACTCAATCGAGGAGTATATCCAATTCATCGAGGGTAGTTATTAATAACGAGACGCGTTCATTAATAAAACTTACTACCGAGTTAATATAGAACACGCGCCGTATATTCACTCGATAGTAGCAATAAAATCAAGATGAAAACGATTGAGATTGATAACCTCAACACAAGCGGTTTATTGGTTTAATCAATATAATTAATTCCCCTTGGTTTATTAACCATGAAACGCATGCATTAATAACCCAAGTTTACTACCGCGAAAGGACCGAATTAATAACAAGCGTATTAATCGACCGATTCTAGTAATAATTAATATATGAAACAAAACTAGTTGATCCTTTAAGTAATGTTCAAAATATTAATATGAAATATGAATAGGAATTAATTAATACTCAAGAAAGAATATTAAAGAAGATGAATCCTACTATGGTTAATATCAAGATGTTAACTAATTGTCATCTTAGTAACACTCCCCGATACTAACGTAGAGGAAGAAATAACTATTACTATAACTAATGTCAAGATGTTAACTAATTGTCATCTTAGTAACACTCCCCAACATTGATATAGAAATAGTATTTAAAGGAAGAATTAATATTCAAGGAAAAAGATTAAAGATAATAACTCACAACTTACAAATTCATTAAGCTTCAAAGTAGCAAAACCAAGATGGAAGAGTTTAGCTCCTCATTTGGAGACTAAACATGCTATAAAAATATAAAAGAAATACTATTCTAAACTGAGCTTAAGAGTATGGAAGAAGGGATTTTTTATTTGTGAAGGAAAAGTGTGCTATTTATAGGTGTTTTTCAACACCTTGGGCCGGGTACCCGACCGGGTAAAGAGCCCACCCGACCGGGTGCATGTCAAAATCAAATATCCTCCACGTTCTGGCGATCTTCGGCATGTTAAAGTGTCCCGGGTCAAGTCAGACCCGACCGGGTGGAATAGGGGACCCGACCGGGTGAGTGCACTTTCCAGGCACTTTCGGTTGTTGAATCAGACCCGACCGGGTGACATCTTATGCCCGGTCGGGTATTTTCTCCTGGACAGTCAAAATCCCTTTTTCTTCACTTCAAAGTCTTCCTTTCCAACACCATAAATCCTAACTCTACTTTACAACTTACAAATGAGAACTAAAATACGATTACAACTAAAATCACACAAATGTTTACAAACTAAATAAAATGGTAAACAATCCACACAAATCAAACATAAAAACACACACTTATGCACTACTAATTAGTGCATATCATTAGCTTTTTAATTTAGTAATGAATCTTAATAGCTCATGTACTAATAGTAATATAAATCCAAGTCGAACACTTGGTATAAATCAATTAAAACAGCTGCATAGAAAACCATCAATGAACTTGTTTTTCTAAATGTTATTCCAAAGATAATAATTTTATATGGAGTATTATTTTTACAGATTTGTTTCCCACCTTCATCCTTTAAAGGTAAAAGGGTTATATGTTTCAAATTTGTATAGCATTTACCGGCCCTCCACAACTGCAATATACTTGAAGGTTTTTCTAGCATTCAATTTGTGTGGGTAGAAACATATCCTGTGAAAGCAAGGGAGAGTGAATTGAATGATCGGATTGCGTTTGTATTAGAGATGCCTTGATTTGCTTCCAGAGTTAGAAAGTTCACCACATTATAGCATTACTTAAAAGCAAAATTAACATCAATAATCTCTACCTTTACAAATTTCACAAAGATAATCCTAACTTGAAAGGTTCACAACAATAATCCCAACTACTTAACTGTTTTACAAAAATAAACCGAGTGCTAATGGTTTTACGTTTTCTGTTATTTTTTTAATACATTGAAGCAAAAATATATATAAAATTGGATAATATTATATTTCAGTTTAATATTTTTTCTACTAAAAAAAATCAACATATTTCATAAAATATAATAGAAATATTTGAACACTACACACTACATACTCTTCAACTTCTCTATTTTCTTTTTTTACTTATCCGTATTTTATTTATAATCATTTTTTATTCATTATGATAGAGATTTCATAGTAGTTATAGTAATACTACATTAAATCTTTATACAAATTATTTAGAATATTAAATATTTAATAGAGATAATTGTATTACATTTTATGAAAAATATTAAATATTAGATTAAATTTATCATAGAAAAAGCTTAAACTCACATATATAATTATTAATTTATATACATATTTTTGCTTTGATATATTAAATATTAAAAAAAAAACAGAAAAGTTAATACCATTAGAGCTCGAATTATTTTTGTGAAACAGTTAACTAGTAGAGATAATTTTTGTGAAACTTATCAATAGGGATTATATTTGTAAAATGTGTAAAAGTTAGGATTATTGGTATCAATTTCGCCAAAAATAAAGGTGAAATTCACAAGAATAATCCCCACTGTTGAGTTTAATCCAACACAATGTAGTAAATATAGATATAAATATGTATGAACACTCGGTTTTTACGTGGAAACCGGAAAGGGAGAAAACCATGGGGCTTATCAGGCTAATGTCCAAGCCTTCTCTTTCTCATTAGACTCTCCTCACCATTACATAGTACAATTTGAGCTCCCATTAATGGAGGATAAAATCAGTGGCGGAGTCAGGATTGACAGGTTACAGAGGCCGGGGTTTAAAGAATTTATATAGCAGGGGCCAAAACTTAAATTTTCACTATATTTTTTTACTACTTATAAATATTTATACATGTATATATACATCACACTTTTTTTCTTGCAGGGGCCGTGGCCACTGCCAACCCCCCTGTCTCCACCCTGGATAAAATTAACTAAAGAGGAGGAAGAAGAAAAGGGCTTCTTCATAAGGAGGTAAATCCTCCTATTTATAGAAGAAAAGGGATGGGGATGCTCTCCACCCTAATCGGCCGAAAGGCCGAAATGGGCCCAAAGGCCAAAACAGGCCTGATGGGCTGAAACGGGCCCAGCTGCTCGGGCTCCGTACTACGTAAGGCCTTGGCCTCCTGAACAGTAACAGACCGGGATAGTATATCCCAATACCCACTTTATTGGATTCTATAATAATAGTACACACTGACAGTGTCCGTAAAAATAATTCGTACTAGGAATAGTATAGACAAGAATAAATTTTTAATGAACTCAAACTAATGCTCATTTAGTACTTCCAACTTATACCTCTACTTTCCTCTTCGCCAAGATTAACGCTTATATGTTTCAACTTAGACAAAACCACATATGATGAAAATGGTGTTGAAATTAAACGGGTCTTAGTTTAAATTTGCCTCAATAAGAAGAATGGGGAAGAAAAAGTAAGTGTATCTCTCAAGAGTATTAAACGGGCATTAATGTGAATTCAACCAAATTTATTCTTATGAACATCATTACTAGTTCAGATTATTTTTGTCGACACTCAAAGTGGGGATGGAATGTAGGAGATTTAAGGCATTATTTGGTTTTATGAAGAGAATATTACCCGAAATAGGACTAAAAAGGTTTGAAAATTCCAAAATAGGACTGTCATGATTTTATTCTCAAAACAGGACTAAATACTGTTATGTTTTGGCAGTACCAGACTTCAAACATGGCAATACTTTCCAAACCTGACAGCAATATTTAATCCTATTTGGGAATCACTAAGGAACAATCTTGCAAGCCTTCGCCTTATGGATCCAAGCAATTAGAGACTTCTTGGTGTTCCTAAATCCAAAGAACCCATGCTCCTTGCTCTTGTTCATACTATCCAACGGACCACACACGCTAAAGCATACATCCACAAGCCACCATTGACCAATCTCCTCCAACTTCGTCTGCAACAGCCCGTTTTCCCTAACAATCTCGTCCCAAACACGCCCTTTCCCTTTCATCATCTCCTCCAAGCTCATCGCCGGCCCCGCATCCTCAAATTCCGGGACCTCCAGACCGAACTGCTCCGCGATCACCCCCCACAGCTGCTTCCACCTGAACACATCTCCATTGCTCACATTGAAAGCTTCGTTCTTGGCGGCTGGCTCCACCGCGGCCCAAATCTCCTGCTCCGCGATCAGATCCGCATCTGAGCCGTTGGTGTACCCTTCCCAGCACGCTTTCACCCCCGGGAATCTGAATCTCAGTCCCTCGCGCTTACATATTGCCGCATATGCACAGAGCGAGCCCACCGTGTTCATCATGCTGCTCGGGGAGAACCCGAATATCAAACCGGGTCGGTGCACGGACCACGTGAGACCCGGTTTCTTCTTCACCTCTTCCCAGAGGATGTCCTCGAGGGTGTAGTAGAAGTTCGGTACGCCCAGCCGCGGGAGATCCTCGTGGAAGGGCATTTCATGGGCCGCTTTTCCAAACGACTCAAACGGGCCGAAGTAATGCTTCAGGCCCGTTTGTAAGCAGATGTGAGTCAGGCCCGGGCAGCTGGGGATGACCGCATTCAAGACGTTGCTGAACATCTTCCCGTTTGCCTCGCAGTTTTCCAGTTCCGTGGGCCGGCTGGCCCACGTAACATAGAAGACGTGCGTTACGTCGGTCAGTACGGTCAGCTTGGATTGGGCAGCTTCTGGGTCAGTTATGTCGCACTGGACGAACTCGATTGGGGGGTGGTGGTCGGTGGTGTTCCAGGACCGGATCGGACGGCGAGCGACGCCGTATACCTTCCAAGGGCCGCCGGGTGTGTTGGAGCGAGGGAGGGTTTCGGCGAGGCTTGCTCCAACAATGCCGGTGACGCCGATGATTAGAGCCACGTTCTGGTGCTTGGGTGGTGCACGTACGGCATCATCTTCTCTGCACATTTCGTATTTATTCATTATTATTATATACTACGTACTCCGTAGTCCGTATATCCGAATGATTTATGATAAAGAAATAAGTGTCTTGGGACTTCACTCAGACTTATTTATAAGACGATGGGTTGGCAAAGGAGTAAACTCCATTTAATTCCCTGAGTTTATAGGTTCAAAACAAACGGCTACCACCACAGAATTTGCAGCGTACGTGGTACTGTGGTAGCGTGGATAACAAGTGATGGCTAGTGGGCAAGTGGTTACCCGTCTTTGTATCCATCTCTCCTAATGTTCTTTCAACTTCTTGTCATTATTCAAATGAAATCATAAAACTGATTTTGTCTATTAATGGTGATGGATGACAAAGCAATCTTCGCTTTATTTTTTGGAAGAAGTCCTCCACCTAGCGGTCAGAAAACTGGCGCCTCTGCCGGAGAACTGTGCCACTGCTGCTGCTAGAGTATGCTACGCAGCGGCGGACGCAAGAATTTCCGGTAGTAGGAGAGGCAGTACAAAACATATACGAAGTATATACAAATACATATACATTTAAAATTTCGAGGTAAATATACTTATAATTTTTTTTGGAGGGGCAGCAGTTCCCCATTGTGATCCCCTGTGTCCGCTGTGAATGTTTTGGGAAAATGTACAACAATAGGAGTCCTGACATGTATATTTATTTTAAAAGAGTTTAATACGTAGTACATAATAGGAAACAAATATGCCTAAGAATATTCTATTACACCTCCTCAAACTGTGCAGTAGATACAACGCGCACGTAGAGGTGAGTTCGATTCTTTCGGTTCGGTTTTGACCTAAAACCAAATACGGAACCAAAGTAAAAGTTTGGTTTGGTTTCAGTTCGGTTTTACACTCCTAGGAATATGATGTTGTTACCTGCCTAATGAGCTGAATACCCTGGGAATATATAGTGGAAGGAGAGGAGGAATTGCGCGCTTTGGTGTGTCCGGTGTGGGAATGTTGTAAATGAGAGGTAAGAGTAGGGGTGAGAAAAACCGAACCGAAACCTACGTTGTAAAAACCGGACCGGTGAGCGACCCGGTCATATGACTGGGTCACGGGTCAACCCGGATCCGGAGGATCAACCCGGTCAAAGCCGGAAAACCGGTCAACAATTATACGTCTATATAATAATAATAAACATATAATTATATACACTCTCATTATATATTTTTATTTGTATTGTACATTTATATTATAATTTGACATGATTTTCATTCTTAAATAAATATATAAATATATTACATAGTTTTTCTTTTTAGGGAATTAAAATTGCAATTTTATTGGTTTAAAAAATGCATTAAAATTAAAAAAGAAATTACTTTTTTTGGAAAAGATCGAAAACCGGGTTTTCCCGGGTTTTTCGGGTTTCTTGGGTCGGGTCCGGATCGGATTTTTTCGGGTCAGCCGGGTTTTTCCGGTTTTTGACCATTTTCGGGTTTTGAAGAAACCAAACCGGATTTTTGTCCGGGTCACCGGGTTCCGGGTCAACCCGGCCGGGTCGGGTCGGTTTTTTAAACATAGGTCCGAAACCCGGAAACCGACCCTGGACCGACCCGAATTATGATCCCGGTCCGGGTTTTTTCTTTTTAACCGGCCCGAATTAAAAAAAACCCGAACCGAACCGAAAATTCCGGGCTCATTAACGGGCCTTAAAATCTATAACCCGACCCAGACCGAAAAAACCCGAAACAATTAGTTTTAATATAAAATTAATATAGTATATGAATATAAATAAAATATTGGGGTTTTGACATGAATAATACTAAACAATAGGGAATGGACAAAAAAGAGGCCTCTTTTCTTTATTTCCTAAAATGTGACTAATAAATACCTACTTTCCTAAATTAACCTCCAAGTGTTAACACTGCAGCCGCATACGTTCACTCCTACCCTCCGTAATATTGCACTGCATTATCCGGAGTAGTATAAAGATGGATTGATAATGTTCGATCGATTGAAGATGGAGCACTGAATGATGGATTGAAGTCTAAAGAACAACTGAGGTGCTGAGGTGCGGAAGAAAGGATAGGGCTATTTCAGACTATTTGTGGTTACGGTTTTTTTGTCCTTTTCAGATTAGGTCCTATATTTGTCCTATTGAATCTCATGGGTATTATTTCTGCCATTTTTTCTAAAATATTTCCTAATATATGATTATAATCACGGTGGATAAAAAAAGATTTAGTAACTTTTAGTGACTACAAATATGTTGAATTTGTTTAGCGTAATGATGACCATGAGAATATATTTATAGCAACTCTTGTAACTTTTTGATTTATAAAATTTATTTCGTAATATTTTTAAGAAACCTATATTATTTATATATATACATCTTACATAAAATATTAAGATAATTATCTTCTTTAAATTTGAATTGTTGGTGATTTTGGAGACTAATATTTGTGTTATTATTTGCGGTTTGTATTTTTGATTAATTTTATTTGAAAATAAGTGTTAAAATATAAAAGAACAATGACATATTTCACGTCCGGGCTTTAACCGGTCCAACCCGAACCCGGACTACCGAAAACCCGACTCGGACCGAATGTAATGGCATTGTTCCGGTCCCTAATTTTCATAATCCGAGACATTCCGGGTAATTTCCGGGTTTAACAAAAACTCAACCCAGACCGGACCGATCTCACCCCTAGGTAAGAGTATCTTTTAAAAAAACAAAAAATCACTCTCGCAGCAAGGATTCGAACCTGCATCGTTCAATGCCATTACCATAGCCTACCAACTTGGCAATAACAACTTTATTAACTTACTTCCACTTTGAAGATAACATACCCGCAAACTTTACTTTAGAAAAAATGTATTTCAAATTTTCAACTAATGCTTAATTGCTCTTTCTATTCATACATTTATTTAGGGTTTAATGCACCAAACCCCCATGTGATTTGGAAATTCGGCGCATTAGCCCCATGTGATTTAAAAAATGCGTCAAACACCCTTGTGTTTTAATTAATCATGCACAGAACCCCCTTTATGAATAAATTTAACAATTTGAAAATCACTTTTCCTAATATTTTGATTGAATATGCAAATAAATACGTCAAAATCTCTGAATCATACAAAATGCTAATCAATTTTCTTTTATTTGACAATTGAATTTGTTCACATAAGGGATTTGGCGCATGATTAATTAAAACACAGGGGGGTTTGACGCATTTTTTAAATCACAGGGGGCTAATGCGTCGAATTTCCAAATCACAGGGGGCTAATGTTTATTTATGAAACTTTATTATAACATTGTATTTTTATTTTTTAAATAACTTTTATTCTTGGATTACATAGTATTTTTATGCTACTTATTATTTTTTGCACTTTAATGAACACACCATTTTAAGAACAACATATAATGATTTGATTTATAGACTTAAATTTGTAATAGTTTGACTTCCTAAATGTTAAATTGTAAGTTTCATTCTATATAATATCTTTAGTAATTTTTATTTAATTGTTTCATAAAATCTTATGATTTACTATTCGATTTTACGATTCGATTTTTAAATACTCATTCCGATTCGATTCAAAAATACGATTTTAACAACCTTGGGTGTTTAGAATTGATTCTGCTGAAAACCAAACAAGATTCTTTTTTTAAAGCTGAAACAGAATCAAAATTAGTTTTCAGAAGGTGTTCTCCCCATCTGCTAAAAAACTGCTTGTATGAGCAATTTGAAGCATCCAGTTTTAAGAAGTAGATCCAAATATATACCTCATACTACCTCCGTCCTGTTGAAAGGTTCCCATAGTAAAACGGCACGGTTATTTAGACAGTAATTAAATAAAGTACTTCAGGTATATTTTGAGAAATAATTTTAATAGGTATAATGATTAATGATTAATAGGTATAATGACAAATTAATCATTAAATATTAAAATTGGATGTCCCAGATCTCCTGCTCCGCGATCAGATCCGCATCCGACCCGTTGGTGTACCCTTCCCAGCACGCTCTCACCCCCGGGAGTCTGAATCTCAGCCTCGCGCTTACATATCGCCGCGTACACGCAAAGCGTGCCCACCATGTTCATCATGCTGCTCGGGGAGAACCCGAATATCAATTCGGGTCGGTGCACGGACTACGTCAGACCCGGTTTCTTCTCCACCTCTTCCCACAGGATGTCCTCGAGACCTCAAGGGTGTAGTAGAAGTGTGGTACGCCCAGCCGCGGGAGATCCTCGTGGAAGGGCATTTCATGGGCCGCTTTTCCAAACGACCCAAACGGGCTGAAGTAATGTTTCAGGCCCGTTTGTAAGCAGATGTGGGTCAGGCCTGGACAATTTGGGATGACCGCATTCAGGACGTTGCTCAGCATCGTCCCGTTTGCCTCGCAGTTTTTCCAGTTCTGTGGGCCGGCTATAGAAAACGTTTGCCTACGTCACATAGAAAACATGTGTGACGTCTGTCAGAACGGTCAGCTTGGTAATCCCATATATAATAATATATGGGATTATTATAATAATATCACATTTACGTAATCCCGGAATAATCTCACTTTTGCACTCAATAAGTCAATCTTCTTTCATTGGACCATGACCTGTTGATGACCTACTATATCAGGTTTTTTACCCTTTATTTGAAAATCTTATATAAATAATCCCACCTTTCACAAATCTGCTCAAAACGGTCCCATATTTCATTTTTTTCTTTTTTTTCTCCCTAAAATTTTTCTTTATTTATTTTCACCCCCTAGACACTTTTTATTGCTTTTCTGATCATCTGAATCTAAAAGATTCAGATCAGATCAGAAGGATTCAGATCGGATCAGAATCATTCAGATCAGAGCAGACCATAAAGATTCAGATCAGATCAGAAAGATTCAGATCAGATCAGAAAGATTCAGATCAGATCAGAAAAATTCATATCAGATCAGAACTTAAAAAATTCAGATCAGAAACATTCAGATTATGTGAAGAGAACAACTTCTAAGTCTACTATTAATTTTAGACCTAAAAGATAATTTCAATCAGTAAGGGACCTAAAACATCCTAAACTGTCAATTCTGGACCCGAAAATTTAATGCCATTAGTTAACTCCTCACAGAATAATGACATGGCGAAATTTGACGTGCACTTTGTCGTGGTGTGCACTCA